AAATAAAATCTTAAAAAAAAAAAAAAAAAAGACAGAAAGAAATCATTGGCTTTAAATTCCTAAATAGCAACACTAGAAGCCAAAAAAACGAATGATATCTTCAAAATTCTGTAGGAAAACAAATTTCCAACCTAGAAGTTTATATTCTAATTATCATTAAAGCTAGAGAGGTGAATAAGGTCATCTTCAGACATACAATACGTCCAGATATAGACCTTCCACATATCTATTTTCTGTTTTTTTCCCATCATTATGAGAGTAAATCCAGAAAGAGGAGGATATAGGAAAAATGCAGGAGATCTAACACATAATGCATATAAAGAGGATTTCTAGAATTATAATGAAGAGGGAAGAGAGAACAGATAATCTGATGCAGAATGATTTGGGTTCAAAAATTTTAGCCACAAACAATGCTGGCTCAATGTTCATATCCATGTAGAAGTTATTAGTGACAGAATAAACATACCTGGGACTTTATGTCTCGATGAAGAATTTTTCGATCATGTACATGTTTCAAGGCCAAACATATCTGTACAAACCAGTCCAAAATCTAGGGGGGGAAATCAAATTTGTCATTTCTTCTAAAATTATATTCCATAGTAGTCTTTCCTTAACAATGAAAGCACTCATAGAATATTTGAGGTTGAGCAGAACTAAGTCCTTAAAAAACAAATTTAGGCTATAATTTTTAAATTTCACCATAATTAATGTTTTTAACATTAAGGAGATAATCAAACCAACTGACACATTATGTGCAGGGTCTGCAATAACTTTCAAATGTAAGAGACTGCTACTGAGCACTTCTTAGAAATCAGAAAACAGAAATTTCCAGAGAAGACTGAAAAATAGAAATACTTTATATTTTATGATACTGTGATGGTGAGTCACTTTATTTTTAAATACATCTTTTTTCTACATAAATAAAAGTCATAAAAGGAAAAGAAAAAAAATCAGGCTCAAAATTTGGAAGACATCACTGATTATTCATCTCTTTCCACACTCACCATATATAAACACACTCTGAAACTGGCTACTTGAAAGTAAAAGAATTTAATTTCTACCCCATTCCTAAGACCAAAAGAATTCTAAGTAAATGGCATTTTTAAACAGGAAAAAATTAGACTATAAAACAATCAAAGAAAACACAGGTTAATTTCCTATAACCTTTGATTGAAGGACTTTCAAAACAGGATACAAAACCTCTAAATCACAAGAAAAAAGACTGACAATGTTGAATATATAAAATTTAAAACATTTGCATGGCAAAATACATAATCAAGTGTAATTAATTATTTAAGAAAATAATTAAAATAAATAAAACAATAACTAAAACAATAGTAACTTGAGAAAAATAAAATAATACACAAGATTGGCCAGAATGTGAGGAAGTAAGTCTTTGCATACCTTGTTTGTGAGAAAGTTAATCACAGTCATTTGGCAAAGTATGTAAAAATTTTAAATTCATATACCATTTGAAAGAGCAACTGGAATTTCAAATTTGTCTTACAGATACAGCATCACAAATACAAAAAGGATGTGTTAAAGGATAATTCATCCCAGGAATGTTCATCAGAGCAAAACATGTATAAACATATGAAGAGGCCTAGTTAAATACACTGTGACATCACTGTACCAGAAATACCATGCAGCCACAGAAAATAATTAAGTACTTCCATGTATACTGTTAAGTGAAAAAAGAAAGTTCTAGAATGGTATGCATAGCATACTCCTAGCATTTTTAAAAGAAATACTTGTGTATTTTACATACCTAAGCTCCATATAATTGTATATGAGGTATGGTGTTTCTAAGAATGAAAGAAGAAATAAAGGAAGCACAAAAGAATAGCTACCAGTTAACAGTGTTTACACCTCAGAGAAGAGGATTTTCATTAGATAAAATGAAAGTAACAAACTAATTTTTACTCTTTGCAGTATTTTTTAAAAAGAATAATCCATTTTAAAAAAATAACTTTTAATTAATTTTCTTTAAAAACAAACTAATCACCTAGTGCAAATATATATTTACTGAGGGCTACACAATTTTTAAGTTTCTTTCTGTATTCACATCAGGCACTATAAGCAGAGAATTAAAATACTGTTCTGACTTTGAGTTCACATGGTGGTTGAAATATATTTATAAATAAATATATCTATAATAAAATGCTCAAGTTTTATAACAGTGATACATACATTAAGAGGACAATGAGTTCAACGAGGCTTAGGAAAAAGTACCAAAAGATAAAAGAAATAAGCTCAATGGAGTCTTATTTTTATATGGTCTACCTGTACAACTAGAACACATTTTAGAAACCATGCATGTCTCTTTTACAGATAGGGTTTTTCACTACCACATTTACCATACCTATATTCCTTTATAATTTGACAAAAATGTATTCAGCACCAATGATACGCCAATAGCTGTAGGAACTGGCAAAAAGGTAATGAAAGAGCTCACAGACCAAATTTATTCTGTAAAGGGCCAGAAAGTAAATCTTTCAGGCTTTGCAGGCCATATTGTCTCTGTTTCAACTCAACTTTGCCACTGTAGGATAAAAGCAGCTATAGATCACTATATGCAAAAAAACGTAACTGTGGTTTTAATAAAACTTTGCTTACAAATACAGACAGTGGTATGAGGTTGGCCCTTGTTTGTTGGCCCCTATCAAAGACTACTGAGGGAGGGAAGTAAACCCAAAGTAGTAATAAAGAAGCACAAAGAAAGCCAGCCAATTCAGCCTAGATGTGATAACATAAAACTGGACAAAGAGATGAATCCACAGCTAAATTCTGATGGGGAGGTATACACAAAGCTGAGAAGGACACATATAAGTACAAAGGCGACATTTCCATTACCTCTGTCTATCCAGTCAAGACTCTTTTTAGGGTTTGATTACTTACAGTTGAGGTTGGATACAAGGAAAGGCCCTCAAATTATAACGTGCTTCTAAGCTCCCCTTTTTACTTCCTTGTATGTATTAATTCATATTAACATTTGTAAAATACTGCTGGGATAATGGCACTTTTTGCTCAAAAGGCTTTTAAATTCTTGTTACAAAATGTAAGCCAGCCAATCAAACACTATATAATGACCATAAACTTGTCTGAATTACAATTTTATGTATATAGCATTATTTTTACTACTATAGATTGTGTTAGATCACTAAAACAATACTACATACCACCTTCTCTAATTCAAAACTCAAGTTTCTTTGTGCAATGAGATATTTAGAATTTTACTAAAGTATGCTAAGTTCTGACAAATTATTCACTAAAAAAAGTTTGAAAAGCTTACAGTGCTAAATATATTAACAGAAAAGTAAAACGTGGCTTTCTATTAGAACAGTAAATTGATTTTAGAATAAGAACTTACTCTTTACCTTTCTGCATAATGTGCCCAGAAAGCAGATATTCCAAGCCCACCAGAATAATCTTCTCTGATTTGTGCTGACTTTAACATTTGATTTTTTTTTTTTTTTGAACAAAGGTTCCTCATCTCTGAGAAAGCTAAGGATCCTTATAATTGCACTGCCTTTATGTATCTTGTTTTCAATTTTTAAATTTTTTTAAAAGATTTTATTTATTTATTTGACTGAGAGAGACACAGTGAGAGAGGGAACACAAGCAGGGGGAATGGAAGAGGGAGAAGCAGACTCCCGGCTGAGCAGGGAGCCTGATGTGAGGCTCAATCCCAGGACCCTGGGATCATGACTTGAGTCAAAGGCAGATGCTTGATGACTGAGCCACCTAGGCACCCCAAATTTTTTAAATTGTAGTAAAACACACATAATACAAAATCCATCATCTTAACCATTTTTGAGTATATACTTCAGTTGTATTAGGTACATTCATACCATGGTACAACCATCACTACCCATCCAACTCCAGAACTCTTTTCATCTTGCAAAGCTGAAACTCTATAACCATTAAATAATAACCTTAATAATAAATAATAACCCATTCTTTTCTTCCCCTAGTCCCCAGAAAACACTATTCTACCTTCTGGCTCTACGATTTTGGGTACTCTTAAGTGCCTCATAAAGTGGAATCATATGGTACTCATTTTTTTGTATCTGGGTTATTTGACTTAGCATCAGGTTGATCTATAGTGTATTTCTGAATTTCTTTCCTTTTTAAGGCTGACTGATAAGGAGGTACTTCTGTCATTTTGTTATTGCTCTTTTATGTGCCTCATAACTTGTCTGTCCCTCATTTACTACGTTACTGTTTTCTTTTGTGCTTAGGTTTCTATAGTGAAACATTTAAATTCATCTCTCATTCCCTACGTACATATTCTATATCTATTTTCTTTGTAGTCACCATTGGGGATTATATTTAACATCCTAAATTCACAATACTCTAATCTGGATTTGTACGAGCTTAACTTCAGTAACATACAAAATCTCTACTCCTTAACATCTCTCTGTCCTACACCTTTCAGTTGCCAATGTAAGAGAATTACATCTTCATACAATTATATCTTTGTTCATGTGTCCAAAAACATAAACTGGTGATGTTTAAAAGTATATTACTTTCTTAAATTTTATTAAAAAAAACCCAAAATGTGGAATTATAAACCAATTACAGTAATACCAGGTTTTAGACTAATAATTGTATTTTTAAAATGTGTTTGTCTTTAAATCTGTAGAAAACAAAAATGGGCATTACAAAAATCATTATTACATTATCAGCTTTTGTAATTACCCATATATTTACCTTTACTGAGATCTTCATTTCTACATATGACCTCAAGTCCCTGTCTATTGTTCTTTTACTTCCATCTGCAAGACTCCCTATTAGCATTTTCTTCAGTGCAGGTCTAGTAGTCACAAATAACCTCAGCTTTTGTTTACCTGAGAATGCCCCTCATTTTTGAAAAGTGATATTGCCAAATACGGGATTCTTGATTCACGGTTTTTTCTTTTAGCACTTGAAAATGTCAGCCCAGTGCTTTCTGGCCTCCAAAAGTTCTAGTGAGAAATCTCCTGAAAATTTTGGTCAGGCTCCTCTCACATGTGATGACTCATTTTATTATGCTGCTTTCAAGATTCTTTGTCTTTGACCTTCAACAGTTTGAATCTAACTGTCTGGTGCAGATCTCATTCAGTTCATCCTATTTGGGAGTTTGCTGAGCTTCTTGGATGTTTACATTCATGTCTTTCATCAAATTCAGGGAGTTTTCAGCTATTAGTTCTTCAAATACTTGCTCTGTCCCTTTCTCTCTGTTTTTTCTGGGACTCCTACAAAGCATAAGTTGGTCAGCTTGATGATGTCCCATAGGTCCCTTATGCTCTGTTCATGTTTCTTCAATCTTTTTTTTTTGTCTGTTCCTCAGACCCAGTAATTTCCATTGTCCAAGATTCAAGTTTACTCTTTCTCCTTCCCATTCAAATCTGTTTCTAAATCACTCTAATAAATTTTTCATTCCAGTTATTGTATTTTTCAGCTCCAGAATTTTTTTGGTTTTTTAAATCTTTATTGATATTTTCAATGTGTTTATACATTGTTTTCTTGACTTTCTCCATTTAGTACTTTAGTTCTTTGAGCAGCTGA